GAGAGGGAGAGAGAGAAAGCGAATGAGTTTGAAGAAGTAAACAGGCGAGAGCGGAGGAGAGCTACCTCCTAGCTCCGCGGAGCCGCGCCACCAGGTTATTCTCCTCCAGGGCGAGGCGAGTCCGCTTGTGCTCACCGCAGCCCTTATTTATCCTCTCCACTCGTCCTCCGCGCGATTTACTCCTCGACGAGGCAAAATGGCGTCGCTACTCTCATATCACAGACAGGCGAGCAGGTAAACGGACAGACGCTCGCGCGTCCACGGGATTGATTATACGCGAAGAACGGCGCGGCTCCGACTCACTCCAGGCTCTTCTTGCCTTCGGAGGAGCTGTGCTTGGCCTCCCGGGCGATCATCGCGGCCCCCGAGGCGCCGGCCGCCGTCCAACGACGGCTCTGCCCATGTGTCCACCTAGGCGTCCTCCGGCCCCGCGCACTCACGCGAACAACTCGCTCGAAGCCAAGAGTACAACCCTGGCGCCGCTCCCAGCACCGTTGCTCCTCCTCACCTCGTTTCCACGAACTTTCGGGGCGCGCCTACGCCGCGCGACGGCTACTGTCGCTGTTGCCGCTGCCGATGCTCGACGAGCGCAGCAGCGAACATGGCGGCTGATGCGCACTGGGCGGGAGACGAAGATGGAGATGGAGTGAGCGAGAAGGAGAGGGAGGAGAGAGCGCGCTTGTCCGCCTGCCTGCCTTCCTTCGAATCCGCCTGTGTGCGAACTGCGAGATGAGGGTCGTGCGCGCGCGCACTCGTACTCGCACCCACACATGGCCGGCGACGCCAGCGACGTCAATTGTTTACGCGCGTAGGTGTTTTGTTTAGCTGGGGCGAGCGGCTGTGTAGTACCCGTGCGGTGCCGTCGTGGGCCGCCGCCGCCGCTGCTGCCGCCGAGTCGTAATTCAAATGGAGCCGGCGGCAACCCGGCTCTCCTCCTCCTTATCCGTCTTACTCCTCCTACTCCTCGACATCATCGTCATCATTATCATCGTTATCGTCATCATAATGAGCGCGTTACGTTAAGGCAACGCTGGTCCGGCTTTAAATGAATTTTTCTCACTTGGCCAACACGTCTGATACTACGAACGCGCATACCTTAAGCGAAACAAGTCGAGGCGAGACAGACAAACGGCCCTCGAGCTCGACTTATTTTCGGGCTACTCACTCGCACACTTTACTCTTAAACGACCACGGCCACCTTTAGCCTGATTACCACCCACAAATATCTCTCTCTCTCTCTCTCTCTCTCTCTCTCTCTCTCTCTTTACCAATGCCCAAACTATAGCATTTAACGTGCTTGTAGCCTCTATGTAGTAGCTCTTTAAAGATAAAAGTAACGGGAAAGGATGAGGATGAGTCGTTTGAAAGGCGAGTCAACGATACTTCTTTTCCTACTACCCTTCCTCGTTTACTTATCTATCCACTCATCAACCAATTTCGTTATTTATTTATTTATTATTATTATTTTATTTTTTATTATCAATGCCCTAACTACAAATGGCTTATACTCACATTTATTATCCCAGGGATTGACCGACCAGTGAGCACCGATTATCTTAACGATCATCTTCTCATTTATGAGAGTAATCCATATTTCTTCACTTTTTTTTTCTTTTTCTCTTCTTTTTAAAACTTCGCTGGAGATTGTTGGCTCGACAAAATCTGCCTACGCCCTATTTTGTTTTCCCTAGAAGGTCGTATCAACACGCACACTCGCGCGTTAATGTTAACACGCGTTGTACGCCGTAATAGAAGATTTCATTTATCCGTATCGGATAAAAATGTATTTGATTTTACTGGGCGAGTAATATCTATTCCTAATATACCAGTGACCTACGTTTCCTACTGAGCCAACAATCCGCCATTTTTATTGTTGTTCTTTTGCCTTGGCCATATATCGTCAAATAATTCCTTATTTGGAAGTAGCTGAGATGTTCTTGCGTGCTTCGATACCATAGTAGTAACGTGCTGAATGCATTTAAAATGCAGGTGAGTGACCTCATATCCATTACTTCATTGTTTTTAATTGCTTTTCTTTACAAGTGACCCAATTTTTTCTCGCTAAATGAGGTTAATTTCATACTAATTTTTTTTTTTGTTTTGTTTTTTTTTTTTTATTAAAACGCCTGTATGTCTGTACGTATCATCGTATACGATAGAAAATTAATTTTTATCCAAGAAAATTGTATTATAGTGTTGTGTGAATTGAAACATTGAAAAAAAGTTGATTAATGCGTGTATTAAACCTTTAACCATTTTTTTTATCCTCTTTTCCTTATATGTCAGTATTTATACCTTCAACAACATAAATAAGTCTGGGATCTATCCATGATGGAACCATCTATTTTTATGCATTTTATGCTCACCGATGACTGCAACACATTATTAGCTGTACGCCGTAAGTATTTATTATAATTCATATATAATTTATAATTTATGCATCTTGCAATAAAAGTGTATATGGACCGTAGTTAATTATACATATATATATATATATATATATTGGTCTTTCATTGTTTTTTTTACTTTTTTTTTTTTAATCTTAAACAGAAGGAAGCGATGGAAGCCTAGAACTTATGACAACTCCAGTAACGGTTGTGCAAAACAACTTGGACAATCCAATACAATTGTTGAAAAACAATCAAAACAATGATAATTTATTGAATCAAGTAAGTCTGTTTAAACACAAATTTTGTTTTTTCATTGTTTGTTCTAAATAGTTAACTACATTGTTACCATTTTTCAGGTTAAATTAAGTAATATCGTACCAAATGTTTATCAACAAACTAATCTAACATCTATTGAGATAATCAATGCTAATTCTGAAGATGATCAAGTGAATAATAAAGATTGTCAATTAGAATTATTAGGTAATTCAGTGGATATAAATGTACAAAATAATGTTACAAACATCCAAAATACAATAGAAGAAGTAAATGTGGATACAGATGAGAAGCAGACTGCAAAGAAATCAGAAATAAATTCGGCCTCGAAAGATGTTTCTGCAACTTTTAAGAAAAATACTCCTCCAAAAAAACATTCTCGAAAGAGTCTTGGAAGAATAAAAAAGAATAAAACTTCTAATGGGGAGGTAATCTCAACGACTATTAGTTTAAAGTATCTTTTATAATTATATCCTTATAATACATATAATGATATTAAATGACTTTCTAGCAATTTCGCTTTAAATGTGACATTTGTGGCCAAGAATTCAAAAAACAATATTCATTACAAAAACATGTACACGAACATACTCAAGATAAACCCCATAATTGTCCAAAATGTCCTGCATCGTTCAATATACCAGTGAGTAATTACGACCATAATAATTAATTTTCACGTAATAGCCAATGAGTTATGCCAACTCATCCTGTTATTGTTTATCGCTATTTGTCTGTATGTCAATGAATAATAATAATAATAATATATTGATTATATTTTAATTTTATTTTACATTAAAGGGGCTAATATTTTCAGTTTACTTTTATTTGTTTGATCTTTATGCTGGATAATTATTGTAGATGTTTCTGTTCAACGAATCAACCGTTGATAATAATTTTTTATAATCTCATTTTTTGAAAACTCATTGAATATATATTGTACTCGTTGATTAAATTGTTGTACCTATCGCTAGCAAAATCTACTGGTTAAATAAGTTGGAATCAATGTGCATTATAATTATGTTACATTTAATTACTAAATTAATTAATATATTGCTATTTAAAAAATTACATTATAATTGTAAGAGAGATTGTTATTTGTATTTACCATTATTTAGTATAGAAAGTTATTAGAAATGTATTATATTATGTCATTTATCACTATTATGCATATTTTGTATAACTATGCTAATTTTTCCAATTACAATCACATTAATAATCGGTATAATAGGATTATAAAAAAAAATAAATTGTAAAATATAAACATACTGTTTTTTATTATTATTTTTTTTTTTGTTTTTGTTATGGATTAATAATTAACATTAGAAATTTTTCCAATCCATAGTTTAGTATAAAAAAAAAAAGTCGAGAATGTAATATATTTATTTACTCGTGTAGCAGTATTAGGAAAATTAGTTGATGAAAAGTTTCAGTTATTTTTCGTTTTGAAAATACATTATTTAAGCAGCAAACTTCCCAAACGTAATGCATACAAAATGTATACTTCCATCATTTCATATTTACGTCTACCTAATAATTGCCATTGCTTTTCAATTTTTACATTTTCTATAAATGTGCGTTCTTTTTAGATTAATTTTACCTTGCACATGGCTACGCATAATATGGGGGAGCCAAAGTGTCCTGAATGTGGTCGAAAATTTGCACGTCTAGCCAGCTTAAAGTCCCACATGTTGATCCATGAGGTTGATGAGAATCTGTACTGCACTGAGTGCGATGATGTCTTTGGAACGAAGGTAGGCTCATTTATATTTGCATATGATCATCAAAATATGACTTCCATTTATATTTCTATTATAGTCTATTTTATTTTCTGAGAATAATATATCGATGAACAATTAATTCTTTTAATTGGGCCTCGATCTTTCGAAATAGCTTTATAAATTTTCAAAGACCATTCAAAAATAGAAATTATGAAAATCCTTAGGCCGTAATTGTTGAAAATTTTGTAATAATGTGTAAGCTAATTTGATAAATAATTATTTTTATTTTTAACTCATTAATGTAAACGTTTCATAAGAAATGAAACGATGAAGTTTCGGTTGAATTTCATTTTTATTTTTTTTAAGATAAATTAATACTTTCCAAATTATAAAAAAATATAAAATAAATTAATGCTTTCCAAATTTAAAAAAAAAAAAAAATAAAATAAATTAATGCTTTCCAAAATTTATGGTGCTAAATAATTATAAAAAATATCCTTTAAGAATCTTTTCATTGATTCTTTTTTTTTTTTTTTTTTTTTTTTTTTTTTTTTTCTTTTTTTTTTTTTATAAATTTATAAATTTATATTCAAAATTCATAGAGTGTAACATAACAAAGCCGAAAAATGTTATCAAAACTTTTATCAAATTTAATAGAAAATGAAGTTTATCTTCCAACGTTAGATATGATCGATCAATTTCTTCCATTGATTACCAAAATCTAATATTAAAATGAAAAGCATCAAAATTCTTTTTTCAAAAACGACGTTTGTTAAGTCTATGGTAAAATATGGTTAAGTAATATGTTCAAACATATGTAAAATCAATATTGATATATCATATGTAAATTTCGTAATTTCAATTTTATAATTTTATGTTATTCAAGCACGTCATGTGTCGATTACGTTTTATCAGTTACGCAAATAGTGCTTTGTGTGGTAGTTTTTTTTTTTTTTTTTTTTTTAATCAGAATTTTGTCGTTTTAACGAGATGATTTGTTAAAAGAAAAAAAAAGGTAAAGTACAAATGACAATTAATTGTCTCTTACATTTTATAAATTAACTCATGATATCGTGAATTTAATGATATCCAGTGTAGTTTAAGTAATATTTAGTATTTACATATTTCAATGAGTACTGTAATTATAAAATTATATATATTCAGTTAAGAGATATTAATTTTAAGAATTTTTTTTTCAAAGATTTTTCAGTTATTTTGTAACATTATCATTCGTCAACAATGTTCTCTTTGTATTTTTAAGGTAATATATTAATTTACAATTATGTAAAGAGTTGATTTATGGTACAAACAGGAGTCGACAAATTTAGGAATAAACATGCACAATTCAATTTATTTATTTCTTTAAGATAGTATCATAAATTTAACTATATTAGTGTTACTTGACCCCTTGGATCTCTTAATTCTTATCTCTTTTCTTCCTAACTTTAACAGAAGATTAAGTTATTCTACTAAATATTTTTCATAGATTGCTTGAATTTTTTTTTCTTTCTTTCTTTTTTTTTATTTTTTATTTCTCTATTAAAGCAAAGAAAATTTCGATGGTAAATATGTACGATAGCCTGTATAAATTCATTATATTTCGTCTGATTAAGTTAAGTTTTTTTCTTTAATCAATAATAGTCAATTGAAAAATTATTAGACGTGTAATTTGGGGAACATGGAGATTATGAATTAGATAGTATTTTAATAATTAAGCAACATTATATGCGAATTTATTACTCCTAATTTTTCCTATAAATTTATTTACATACATTGCCAAATAAATATTTACTGAATCGCATTACACAAATAAAAGTATATGTTTGACTAAATTGTTGAAATTTAATGATAATCGGGTGACTATTACCAGTGGTGTGTAATAAATCACAATATAAATAGGGACGAGAAAATAGGCTACGCATTTATGCATTGAAGTCGTTGAAAATTCTTACGTTTCAACGATATAGTTGTAATCTAGTGACTAATGTACATATGAAAACGCGTAAAAACTATGTTTACTATACAGTTAATTTTCTCTTTTTCCAGATAAAGAATTTTGTTTTTAATAGCGGCAATGGTTAATTGTATACTTTTGTTGAGCCCGCCTCAGAAATATAAATAAAAACAGAAAAAAGGGTCATCGTAATTTAATTGTCGCTGTCAATTATTGTTGAAATTTATTCATTTAACGTAGAGAAGTTATTCAATTTACTATTCGCCCTAACAAATTCCACCGTACTAAACAAAACAAAAACAAAAAAAAAACAAAAAAAAAAAAGCAAGACAATTAGCGTGCAAAGTTACAAAACAGGTCAATATCAGCTTAGACAGATTAATAATAAATGATTTGTTAGAGGGGAGTTAATTTGTATTTGGAATTAATTTGTTTTATATTCTTGCAACAATTATTTATTATACTATAAATGTCTATTGGCGCGCTATTCATAAATTATTAAATATATATATATATATATATATATATATATATATATATTAAAAGCCGTATAATTCAAGTCTTTAATTCAATGTAAGAAAGAGTTGGAATTGTAGTTAGTGTAGCGTGATTGAGTAAAGTTGCGAGTAAAGTGGTCTAATCGAATAATCCATCATACCGATGTTGAATGAATTTTAATTTTATTCTGAATATTATTATGAATAAATAAATGCGCGTGTGCGTGTAAAATTCATAGCATTAAATGGGAGAAGGGAAACGGCATGTACCCGCGCCATGTCCGATAGGACTAAAAATATGCCCGTTTGACCGTCTCAAGGTTAAAAACTTGCGCAACGAAGCAACAGAACTATCGCGGATGCTCGATGGCTTAACTTGTTCGGCCCGAATTCCTACTTCCGGGACAATTTCCGTATTAGCAGAATAGCGCGGCGGGGCAGGGGGTCACCGGCGATTGGCCAAAGGCGAAAGCTCCGTTAAATCCGGCTGGGTAAATACCGAGGCGGGGATATCGCCGCGTGCAACGATGGGTCTCCACGGGTAGCGGAGACCGACTCTCCGCTCCGTCCGTGAGTTGTTACCGGCCGGGTGCTGGACGACTCCCATACGCGGACGAAAGGAGGAGGCCTCGGCGCGCCGGCCCGTTAAATTGAATGCGCGCGCTCCCGCGATCGGCAGCCGTGGGCGATCGAGAGATTACGAGGCCGACATGAGATCACGCGGCTGGAAATTGAGCCTCGGATGCTGGAGCGCCTGAGCGACGGGGAGGGCCTCGCCGGCCGTTACGAGGCGCACGGGGCGAGCGGCGCTCGAGCCAAGGACTAAAATTGGAATTGAGCGCGCGCGCAGCGACGTCGTCGACCGCTTCGTCTCCCTCTGATTGTTGGGCCGAGGCTGTGCCGCTGACGCGAGCCGTCTTACGAATTAACGATGGCCGTTCGTTATATTGACGAGGCTCGCCGGGCTGCTGATTAGAGTTTCGCGTCTCTCGCCGCGACATTTCCCTATCGCCGTGTCCGCCTGCCTGAGCCACTTGGCATGCAACGCACACGCACACGCCCGCGCATACCCTATTACCGACACCCTTTCACCACCATCGTCACCACCCCCGTGATAAACGAACGCGCTATATGACCTATCGCTGCTGAGGATGGAGCATAGTCCACGGTTTTACCGAAGATGCTGCGTTATTTAGCGCTAATGATACTATGGGACGAACGCGGATACGCGTTTACATGCTCCTCCGATGCCTCGCGAGCGTGTATATTTGAAAATACAACCAGCCACGAGTGTTTGCGCCGTCCAGACATTTTTCCTTTTACAATTACTCTTATGTCAGTTTCATACTTCCATTCGCGGAACGTCTCATTTTCATAAGAGTTGAGAGAAAGGAAGAGAGAAAGAAAATGTAACGGATGAAGAAAATGAACATGAGCTATGGTGGTGCCAAACGACTATTACGTAGCTCTTAGATCTTAACGGATCATTATTAATTCATTATTGATTGGTATTATCGATGGGATTTTCGCGTACATTTATTGGCTTATGGTGGAGAGTTACGAGTGTCGTTGGGCGATCGATTACATTTTGTTATATTGTGTTTTGTAATGTGGGTGAGCGCATGGGAAAGAAAATTCTTCAAATTGTTGTTGTGAAAACGAGTTGCCAGTTGGCAAATCTCTGATTTACATTAAGTTTCGTTATTTATAAATTATCAAGCTAGAGATGTTCCGGGTTTCGAATGTCTCGATGATATAATGTAGAGGAGTGTTAATGGAAAGTCGGAGAAGAGAGAAGCAGGCGTATTGTGCGCCTAAGTGAACGACTAAAATCAATGTTATCTAGATAAATGATCGAGCCCAAGACATATATTTCCATTTCAATTGATCAACGCTCTTCCTTCTTTTCTATATACATATAAAGCAATTGAGCAACGTGGGGTTAAATTTATTTTTCGTAGAAGAGTCAAGCGCAGCATAAAAAAATTGTATGATTAGTATAACGAATTATGTTAAAAGTTGGTTAGACGGTAAAAGTCGTTAACCGTTTAAAGAAATCTTAGATGCTCGAGTTGCGTTTGACGGAGGCTGCGCACAGAGATATAAATGGGAAAAAGAATTGCGCGCAACGCCGCACATTTTAACGTGGGAGCCAACGAGGACGCGCTTCAAAGTGTGGATAATAAAACGATGACGCGCTTTCGTTTTTGCTTGCTGACATGCGCAACACGCCTCAACACGCGAATAGGCGAAATTTTAATTCTTTACTATTAGCTTGGGCGTCCATTAGGGTACCCATTAGTTATCGCGAAAAGGGTAAATTTATTTGCAAAATAATGAATTATCGATACACCTCGTGTGCAATTCGCGCTCTACAATATTGATTTGAAAATGTTAATACGTTCGATAATTTGAATTTTCAAATAGAGTGTGATAATCGTATTTTTAAATGACACGGTGAAAGTCCCTATCTATCCCTGCACACGCGACGACATTATTTTAGTAATATACCGACATTTCTCGTCCGCTACTATGATTTAAATTATTATACAATAGCTTGTAGATGACTCGTCGTTAATTCT